ATATATATATATATATAAAAAACAATTATAGACTTGCAGACTTTGTTACACAGGTTATAAAGAACTTCCTTTCTGAGCTACTTGTAAGTAAGTTGCCAAAGTGATGATACTCACTACCCCCAAATATTTCCTACAAACAAGGATTTTTTCCTACATAACTGCAATGCGGCCATCAAAATCAGGAAATTTCACCTAATAAATTACTACCATCTAACCCTCAGACCCTAATCATTTCAACAGTTGTCCTAATAATATTCTTTATAACAAAAGGAGCCAGTTGAGATTCGTGTTTTTCCTTGAATTTCATGATCGTGATACTTTCGAAGATGACAGGCCAGTTGTTTTTCAGAGTGTACCTCAATTCACGTCTGTCTGATGTTTCCTTATAGTTAGATTCAGGTAGTGTAGTAGCCTCCCAGAATGGTGCTGTGTCCTCACTCTGCATCTTGTCAGGTGGCACTATGATTTTGATTTATCCCTTTCCTGGCGATTCCTTTGATCACTTGATTCAGGGAGTGTCTGTCCATCTTTTCCATTGTAAAGTAACTCTCTTCTTTCTTTGTAATTAAAGTGTTTTGTGCAGAGGTGCTTTGAAACTATGCAAATATCCCATTCCTCATCAAACTTTATTAAGTAGTAATTTATTCATAGCAGCCTGGGCTGCTTTTTTTATTCAGTGGGTTATAATCCATTACTATCATGATATATTTTGATACTCCGGTTATCCCTGATTTGGTGAGTGGGGACCCTATGGAGATTTCTTTACACCCTACTTGGCTTCAACACCTCAAGGTGAGCAGCCCCTTTTTACCCACTTTGGGTTCTGACACCTGGCACTGAGCTGCCTCCCCTCACCGTCCTGGCTGTCCTCCTTGCTCACCATCTGATAGCTTTAGGAATAAACTGCTCAGGAAGAGGAAGGTATTTTAATCCTGCTGCTGCTCCTTGGACTAATTCCTGATTTTGCTGCAGTATTTAGAACCGTTTTCTTTGGGTCTTTTTGTTTTCATGGATATGAATTGATCACCACTTTGGATATGACAGTCATTTATTTAACACAGCTAGTTAAGTAATTCTATTACTTTTATTTTTATTTTATTTACTTATTTACTTACTATTTTTTTAAGTAGACTCCATGCCCAGCTTGGAGCCCTTTAACGTTTATATCTAAATTCTGTTTTCTGGGGCGCCTGGGTGGCTCAGTTGGTTAAGCGACTGCCTTCGGCTTAGGTCATGATCCTGGAGTCCCGGGATCGAGTCCCGCATTGGGCTCCCTGCTCGGCGGGGAGTCTGCTTCTCCCTCTGACCCTACCCCCTCCTGTGCTCTCTCTCTCTCAAATAAATAAAAAAAGAACTGCTTTTAAAAAAATAAATACTGTTTTCTAGCCTTTAGGCCCTCTTTTGCTTATTTGGAATATTTTCAAATTCCCATATTTTAAACATAAAATACACAGGGCTTTGTAGAGAAAAAGTTAATAATTTTTGCCCCTCTGGTTATTATTCAAATGACTTTCATTATTCTGTGAAGTATGTGTGCTTTAAAAATAGTTTTTTCAAACTTTTCTTATTGCTTTTCCTCTTAATCTGTTTATTCCTGTATATATAAAAGAATGAGTTAAACTTTTAATTTCTGACTTACTCATTTTAATATAATTGCAGCGTTGTTTTTCTTAATGTGAATACTCTCTGAAATGGGCAGGTAAGCCCTCCGAGCTGTCTCCACTTGTCTGTGCAAAATACGGCTGGGTCACAGTTGAATGTGATATGCTCAAGTGCTCCAGCTGCCAGGCTTTTCTCTGTGCCAGTTTACAACCAGCTTTTGATTTTGACCGATGTAAGTATAAAGTACAAATTACATTTTCCTCCACGTTCACAGATATATTAGACCAGTTTTTCTAAAAAGACCAGTCACCTGTGTTTGATCAAAGAATGTGTAGTGTTACATGGAGCAAGGTGAATTTGTGATCGTCTTCATCTTAATTATTAGCTTCAGTTACTACTTTTTTAAAAAACTAAGCTATTTTAGAGTGAACCTGACTTCATGCATTCTGGGAAACTAACAGCAGGGTATGTTTACTTTATGGTTCCAAAATGTATACTTAGACAAAGAGACAAGGCACTTTGATGAAGCCTGGTGCTTCGGAATGCCCTGCCTTGTAAGACACATATTATCTCCTTTGTTATTGATCTTAGGATCTTGATTTAGAACTTGTTTTGTGAAAAATATTAAGATGATATAGTTGCTAATATTTTCATGGCTTTTAAAATTATCTTCGTCACTTTTATTTTTAATTCTGTCTATACTCTTAAAGGTTCTTGGCCATTCGATTTTAATCTATCTAGTGTTCTCTAAGGCATTACTCCCTATGTGGGTTTCAGATAAGGACCGATGTGCTGAGCTGAAGAAAGCCTTGTGCACCGCCCACGAGAAGTTCTGTTTCTGGCCAGACAGCCCCTCCCCAGGTACTCATTTCCAAGATATTCCATTTACCATCTCTTCTTCTAGTATTGTCTATTTCTTTGTGAAAATCTAGTCTTGGAGGTTTCTGTTCTTCCTTTCTATTTGTGCTTTTCAAGAAGAACTTACATTCATCCACTTGTTAGGTTATTACTTAACTTTATTACAGGCATTCAGCATGCCCGCAGCTTAGCCATGTATACATTATCCCACTTAATTCTCACGGGGGCCCTGGGAGCTAGATTCTCAACCCATTTTTGGGGGTGAGGAAACAGAGTCAGAGATCTTAAAACCAACTGGTGAGGAGGCAAAACTATGGTTTTATCTGATTTCAAACTCTCTGCTTTTCCCACCATAGCAAACAGTCCCATGTTCTCCCCAGGCTTCCTTTGGTGCACTGATGGTGGCAGTTAAATGGGGTTCGGTTGCTAAAGCAGACTCATGGGAAGCCAGATGAGAGTGATTACAAACATATAGTTTATCACAGTGAAATGACACAATATAATAGAGCCCTGAAGCTGAAGACTGCCTGTATAAGGGCCTTGGCAGGGCGCACTCTCTTGCATCAGGGGACTTTGTGATTGTCTTCACTCTAATTATTAACTTCAGTCGTTACTTTTTTCTTTTTAGAACTAAGCTACTTTACAGTGAGCCTAACTGTGTATTCTAAGAAACTAACATCAGGGTATGTTTTCTTTATGGTTCCAAAATAGATACTTAGGCTAAGAGACACAGGAGTTTTATGAAGCCTCACACTGTAGAATGCCCTGCCTTATAAGATACATGATAGTGCCTTTGTTATTGGTCTTAGGATCTTGATTTAGAGCTTGTTCTGTGAAAAATATTAAGATGATGCAGTTGCTAATATTCTCCTATCTTTTAAAGTTATTTTAGTTATTTTTAATCGTATCTGTACCCTTAAAGGCTCTTGGCCTTTAAGTGTTTGTATGCACAAAAAAGCCCAAAATGTAGTAACAAGTGGGATTTTTTTAAAAAAAGATTTATTTACCCATTTTAGAGAGAGAGAGAGAGCGCGCGCATGTCCGTGAGTGGGAAGGGGGACAGAGGGAGAGAAGCAGACTCCCGCCGAGTACAGAGCGTGATACAGGGCTTGATCCCACGACCCTAAGATCATGACTTGAGCTGAAATCAAGAGTCAGACACTTAACTGACTGAGTCACCCAGCACCCCAGCAAGTGGGATTTTTAAATATTTTACTGGTTGGGGCACCTGGGTGGCATAGTCAGTTGGGCGTTGGACTCTTGGTTTTGGCTCAGGTTGTGATCTCAGGGTTGTGAGATTGAGCCCTGCATCAGGCTTAGCGCTCAGCACAGAGTATGCTTGAGATTCTCTCTCCCTCTGCCCATCCCCACCCCGCTCTCTCTCTCCCTCTCTCTCAAATAAATAAATCTTTTTATCAATAAATAAATAGATATTTTACTGGTCACATAGGCATATTCTTGCTGGGTAACCAGCCTCCACAGCAGAGCCTTCCAGAAGGCTCACCAAGACCAGGTGCAAAACTTCATGCCTGACCAGACATTCGTGCCACGTAGGTCTAACTTTTATTTCAGTAGGATAGCTCAGGCCAATTCCAGGGTCACGGATGCCTGGAAATATTCCATGAATGACCACTAAGAGGAAAAAAGAGATTGAAAGTGGGGGCGCCTGGGTGGCTCAGTCAGTTGGGCATCTGCCTTTGGCTCAGGTCATGATCTCAGGGTCCTGGGATCAAATACCACCTGAGCAAGGAGTCTGCTTCTCCCTCTCCCTCTGCCCCTGCTCATGGTCTCTCTCTTGCTCACTCTCAAATAAATAAATAAAATCTTTAAAAAAGAGAGAGACTGAAAGTGTCCATAGAGTGCCATTTACTGATAAGGGGAGATAGAAAGGGACTGTTGCGGAATAACATTTTTAAAGTGAAGATGATGTGTAACAAGGAGTTGCTGCTGTTGGCCTAGCTATTTCACTGTGTAGTACAACTGAACTCAGTCCCACGAGGATGTGAATCCTTCTCCCAGTGTACCCAGTCCAGGTTTTTAGGATCTGCCCAGGACCCTGTTGGTGGTTCCCAACTCTTATTATACACTCTGCTTTCTTGATCCACCTACTTGCAGACCTCTTAACTCCTATCCCGACTTTTCTTTTGAGCTTGACTTATTTTCAACTACCTTCTAAACATTTTCATGTAACGTCTTGTTGTAGGTATCTGGAATTCAATATGTGCAAAACTGAAGTCTTCATTTTGTACCTAAACTTTACTTCTCTTATATTTTCTCCATCTTAAATGGTACTGACCTCCCCCTTAGTTGTCCTAGCCAGAAACCTGGATGTCCCTTTAGATGCCCTTCCCTATCTATCATCACCACCTGGTCCTGTCCATTCTACTTCCTAAATAGATCTCAGATGTGACCTTTCAATTATATCACCCTTGGTTTGGTTCTTTCACATTCCAGAGACTTTAGTGTGAAGAGAGGAAGACCTACAACTATTTATGCTTTAATGCTTACATTTATTAAGCATATCTAATAAATACAATTTTGAAGGTAATTTTTTTCTAACATTTACCAACTAAATTAAATCCCCTTAAACATTTTAATTTATAATTATAATTTATAATTACTATTTACTAGACTGATTATTTTGAACATATCAAACAGTGAAGTAGACAAAATACATATGTTAATTATAAAACAAATTTTAACTTATGTTAAAACATTTTCATGGTGGGTTTAATTTCTTCTGTTTGCTCTTTTGCCTTCATCAATTTTTACTAGTATTTTCTTAGGATTTGTAGGAAACAGACCAAACCCTAAATTGGAAAGTGACCAGAAAGGTGTTGGGACCTGGTTTTTTCTCCTAAGTTTTGTCAAACCTGAGCCACTGGTCATCAGAACATGTTTCCTTCTTATTGTTAAACCTCACTTGATTTTTTGTTTTATTTTTAGTTTTTTATTTCTTAAAGGATTTTATTTATTTATTTATTTATTTTTAGAGAGAGGGCAGAGAGCAGGGGGAGGAGCAGAGGGAGAGGGAGAAGAAGGGGGAAAGAATCTCAAGCGGACTCCCCGCTGAGCCCAACTGGGGCTTGATCTCACGACCCTGAGATCATGACCTGAGCCGAAACCAAGATTTGGACACTCAACCCACTAAGCCACCCTGGCGCCCCTTCACTTGATTTTTTAAAATCCATACCTTTTTTGTTGATTGTAGTTTTTTTATAATTGGACTTTTCTAGTAAAATGATACATCTTTTTAAATTGATGGCATATGTCTTGACATATTTGGTTACTTGCAACAACTTTTAATGGTTTGAGAATATTTAATAACATTAGAGACCAAAATCTGGTTGCTGATGATGGTGAACAAAGTGCTGTTTTTACTTTTGTACCTCTTAATAACAAAACTAGAAAAGAGATTTTTTTCTTTTTTGAAGCATCCTTATGATTGAGGGATAATTGACATAAAATAAACCGCACATATTTAGGTGTACAGTTTGGTAGGCAGACACTTAACGACTGAGCCACCCAGGCGCCCCCAAAAGCACATTTAAAAAAAGATTTTATTTAGGGGCGCCTGGGTAGCTCAGTCAGTTAAGCTTCTGCCTTCGGCTCAGGTCATGATCCTGGAGTCCCAGGATCAAGCCCCACCTCGGGCTGCCTAGATATGCTAAGTGAACTCTTGCTCCTCCGCTCTCCAAGACTACCATTAAGAAAAGTGTGCCCAAGGGCGCCTGGGTGGCTCAGTCGTTAAGCGTCTGCCTTCGACTCAGGTCAGGATCCCAGGACCCTGGGATCGAGCCCCACATCGGGCTCCCTGCTCCGCGGGAAGCCTGCTTCTCACCTCTCCCACTCCCCCTGCTTGTGTTCCCTCTCTCGCTGTGTCTCTCTCTGTCAAATAAATAAATAAATAAATAACTTTAAAAAAAAAAACATCTTTATTAACTAAAATCCATAGTATACATTAGGGTTTACTCTGTGTTGTACATTCTGTGGATTTTGACAAATATATAATGACCTGTATCCACCATGACATTATCATATAGAAGTGCCTCACTGCCCTGAAAATCCCCTGTGCTCTCCCTATTCATCACTCACTCCTTCCCTCCCCCAGAATCCCTGGCAACCACTGATCATTTTACTGTCTCCATAGTTTTACTGTTTCCGGAATGTCATATAGTTAGAATCCCACAGCATGCAGCTTTTCAGACTGGCTTCTCTCACATAGCACTCTACATTTAAGGTTCCTCAGTGTCTTCTAGAGTTCATTTTTTTCGTTGCCACAGTTTGATATTATTGCATTCTATTTCATTAAAATAACTGGGTTGAAAATTAGGTAAATGATAAACTGATTTCAGAACCTAAGAAGGAGTCATAGCTGTAGTTTTTAAAATTATTGCCTAAAATACGATGTTAGGTTTTTGCTAGACACAAAGGGCCAGACAGCTTGATCCCTGTCTTAGGAGCTTAGGTATTGTTGGGAAAGAAAAGTCTACATACATGAGGTATTTAGTAACAAAAGGGTAACAACAAAACAAAAGTAAAGGATCTATAAGAAACTAGGAGTTGAAGAATAGGAAGAACTTCCGAGTGCTGTAATAGAAACTCTGTAAAAGCAGGAGCTTTTGTCACTCACTGATCATGAGACCTGGGTATGTTACTTTTATCTTCCTCAGATTCCTCATCTGTAAAATTTATATGATAATAATGTTAATCGTAAATTCAGTTAATTAACATATAGCGTATTATTAGTTTCAGAGGTAGAGTTCGGTGATCATCAGTTGCATGTAACACCCAGTGCTCATGACATCATGTGCCCTCCTTACTGCCCGTCACTCATTACCACATCCCCCCACCCCCAGTCATTAAGAGTTTTATAACATTGATGTTCCTTCTCTCCATTCTTCTGTCACTGGTATCTTACAGGGATTATTACCTTAAATCACTTTAATGTCTGCTAAGCTTATTTTTTTGCATCCCAACTGACCCCTTACAATCTCTACTCTAAACTATGCATGTTATCTATAATATCACTCTTTCAGTGGTCATGATCCCAGCATCCTGGGATCAAGTCCCGCATCGGTCTCCTTGCTCAGTGGAGAGCCTACTTCTCCCTCAGCCTGCCGCTCCCCCCTGCTTGTGCGCGCTCTCTCTCTCTGACAAATAAATAAAATCTTAAAAAATAAAAAGTACATGAAATTAAAAAAAAATCTTTAAGTAATTTCTCATCACATACATTAGTAAAGTCGTGGTCTAGTTACTCTCCACACTTTAACCCCACCTCCTACTCCTTTCCCCATAGGCAAACTTTGTTCCAGTCCCGTGAAACTATTTAGAATTCCGCATCTGTGCCATTCCTTTGGGCTTTTCCTTTTACACACAGTTGTTGGTCTT